AAAATTCAAGAGCCCACCAATTTGCAAGTCAGACGTTTGAATGCTGTGACGCGAAAGCTGATCAGCAGCCCGAAACGCATCACCTTCCCTCGGATGAAGCCGACGAATGAAGTTGACATCCATAGCGATTCGGGGTATCGGAAGCTTACCGGGGAGGAGGATGACGAGACCAAGGGCTACGGCATACGCGGGGCCAACGTACTACGGCGAGGAAACTCGCCTCAAGGCAAGTCCGTCGTTCACCTCTGTGACGGACTATGCAAATCACACCGATTACAGGTGAGGTCCAGTTATGCTGCGGAGGCACTTGCAGCCGCACATAACCTTGATGAGTGTTACCCTACGCTCATTACTCTCCACGAGCTTAAGGCAGGGGCTTTGACTCCACGACAACTACGAGACATGCGTGAAGTTGGAGGCCTTGCTATCAAAGTCTCTCTTACCATAGACGCTGAGTCCGTCTACAAATCTTTATCAAGCAGGGATCTCAAAATACCTACAGAACGGACTCTGCTTGGACATATCAGTTGGATACGTGAGCTCATGGATATAGGTATAGTACATAATGTGCAATGGTGTGATACTAGGGATATGACCGCAGATGGGCATACAAAGGGAAGCATCGATCGGGAGCTGCTTCTGGAAGTGATGTCAGGCACTCAGTCATTTAAGTATGACGTGAAGCAATTTGTTCCCTTTCGGGGCCCCGAGGACAGAGACAAACCCAAGTCTAATCAATTTTAGTCTGTCCTTGTTGCCCTCGCGGTCCAGTTTGCCAGCACGGGCGCCTACTATAAAGGCGCCCCTTTAGCTGCTCGGAAACGAGCCTTATATTTCACGCCTGGCAACGAGCCGGCTTCGTACAACTCAGGCTCTTTGCCTTAATACACATTTGCTTGGTGAGGTATGGCCTAATTTTGGCTTACCTCTAACCAAGCCGATAGCCCTTCATTGTTTGAAGGGGCTGTCCTGTATTTGCGTGAAATACTTTGCGAGGAAACTCGCCTTACAGTCTGGTGTTTGACCAGACTGTACGCACTGTTTTCTTTTCTTTGCAAACAGTCGTGCGCGCGATCTTTGCGTGCGACTATGCTCTCCGTCTCCTCCCCTCCCGACTTTAAGGGTAGCTCTTTGGGATATGTTACAGTATCGGGAGCATAGCTCGCGCGCCGCTGCCTTGGGCTCAAGGCACGCGCGCCCTATTTGCCCGGACACCGCGAGTGTTCGCTATGTGCTGGAAAGATCATTGCATCGATCTTATCCTATCTTATCCGCCCATTCCTCATACTGTACCTTCACAGCAGAGCGATGGACGCTATTTGCCATCCGATGTCCACGGTCAGCGCCTTGGAATCGGATGCTATTTGAGTTACCAGGCTCACTTTCGACTCGATTGTACTGCCTCCTTCGAAACTCGCCCCCCGCCCCCCTCGCCCCGTTCCCTTCCCATGTAGGTGCTCCCAGTGGGGCCCCGGACAGTCAAAAATGGATCCGGGGCGAAGAACTAGCCTGAGAGGGTGTCGAGAGCTCTGGGGCCGCGGATTGAAATTACATAGGGGGATTTATGAATTTGCTGCGCCGCCCCCGAAAACTCACAGCCCGAGCGCGTCGGTCTGGCGGCGTTCCGACCGCGCTCTCTCGGAGTCGCCGCCGAATCTCGTAGATCTCCGATTTGATCCGGTCCGATTTTGTCCCAGTCTTGGCCCCGTCTTAGATTAGGGTGCAATTCCTGGGAGGTCACATTGAGCATCGTCGCTGGTATACCCGTGGTCGAAAACGGGTTTAAGGCATCAGCCCGTGCAATTCCGCGTTGTTCCGCTGAGTCTGGTTTAATCCGGCTTAATTGGTGTTGGGTTTGATTTGGGTATCGTCTGCGCTCATCCAGCTTCACGGTCACTCGGGCCTGGTAGCTTTGAATTTGACATCATTCTCACGCAGACCTTCCAGTAGGTTGCTCCCTGGGTCTCAAGACACTTTTTGAGGTCCGGCGATGCCACATATCATCGGGCCCGCCCGCCCCCCCCAGATAAGCCGAGCCGTGTCGGTTGCGAAGGCCCGATGGGTGTACGCAGTGCTGTTGCGCGCGTGCCTACGCGGGGCTGCCCACAGCGAAGAGGTTCGGCCATCGCCCGGCACCTCCCCCACGCCCCCTCGGGGCTTCAGAGACGGGGGTCAATGCAAACGGGGGTCAGCCAGAGCGCTGGATCTTGCAGGATCCTGCAGGGCCAAGGCTGCATTGACCCGGGCTTGGGTGCAGGATCCTGCAGGATTTCGCAGGATCCTTCGCACTGACCTGGGTTTGGGTGCAGGATCTTGCAGGATGCTGCAAGGCCTGACTGACCCAGGTCTGGATTGACCCGGGTCAGAAGATCCCCGCCCCAACACCAACCGAATGACCCGGGTCCACGCCGAAAAATGCTGCACGGCTTCCTCATAGGTGGACGAGGCCGAGCACGACGCCGTGCTCATGGGCACGCGGAGGAGGAAAAGGTAACCACATACCGCTACCCTTCTCTCGTTTTCGCCCTTCTTGGGCTTCCTGGGACGCCCTCGTCGCCACCGCTGGATTCGCCTCGAAATCCTGGCCAGAACGCACACTGGGAGAGGTCCAGGGAATCGCGGTATCGGTACCCTGTGGTTTTCCCAGGCACGATGCTCGCCGAGGCCGTGGCCAAGCTCGAGCAGGCGGGGCCCTGCGCCGCGCGCTGAGGCGGGGCCGGCGCGCGTGCCCCTCGCGAGGGCTGCGGCCCGGCGGGCGGGCGGAGGCTGCGCGTGCCGAGGCCCGGGCCTCCTTGCGTCGTGGAAAAGCCAGAGGCCGTCTTCGTCGTCGTCGTCGTCGTCGCCGCCGCCGCCGCCGCCGCCGCCGCCGCCGCCGTCGTCGTCGTCGTCGTCGTCGTCGTCGTCGTCGTCGTCGTCGTCGTCGTCGTCGTCGTCGTCGTCGTCGTCGTCGTCGTCGTCTTCGTCCTCGTCCTCGTGGTCCTCGGGAGCCTGGCGAAGGGTGAACCCAACTCTTCCCAGTGCGGCCCAGACTGCCTCCAGAGCTCCCCTCGCGATGCCCAAGGAGGGTCCCGATGGTCAGGGTAGGCATCCGAGAACGCCTCGGGCCGGGACCACCTGCCCCGAGATCCGACGCCAGGGAAGCTCACGCAGAAGATCACGACCAGAGCCCTGGATCGTTTAACCGATCCCGATTCCCACGGGCGTAGCCTGGGCCTCACTGGCCGATTTGCCCCCCAAGATGGGGATGTAGGCAGTTTCCTTTGGGTTTCGAGGGGTACATCTCCAACTGGGGTGATGGGATGGTGGGGATCGGGATGGGGATAGGGATAGGGATCGGTGAAACGATACTGAAAGAGTGCCCAGGGCCAAAGGTGCCCTCAACTGTGCGCTCCCATCTGGAGCCCCGGGTCGGAGAACAAAGACTGACATGGGCGGACAAACTCGGAGGTCCACGCTGATTTCTCGGATCGTCGCTGGGGCCCCCTGACAGCGCCTCTGGCGCCGCCCCTGGCGCGCTCCTCGCGCCAGGAAGGGGTGTCCAGCGCCGATCCGAGAGATCAGCTCGGACCTCAGAGTTATCAATGTTTATGCCGTTGTTTGTTCCTCTGCCTGGGCTACCTGGGCCTCGTGAGGGGTGCTCTGGAGGCCGTGGGGCCTCCTCGGACATCCCCGGGACACCTTGGGCCAGGGGCACTTCTGGCAACACCCGAATATATGAGAGACGACCCCGAGATTCTAGGCCTCCCAGATGGGGTCCGAGTAGATGGGGTCGGAGGATTATGCCGCATCGCCGGTGCATCGCCGATGCATCGGCGATGTTTGCGATGTATTGGCGACGTCGGCGTGGAGAATGTCGGATTCCACATCGAGCTTCTTCGCCGATGCATCTGCGATGCTACCCCCCAGTCATCGGAAGGAGTACGGAGTCTTCTTTGTTTCCCGGACCCCAACCTACTTCACGCGCCGTCCTACGCCAAGAGTCGAAGGGTTGCCCTCCTTCGACTTCCTGCCTCTTCAGCAGGCGGGCAGAAACCTCCAGCGTCTTCTACTCAATATTTCTACCCACCTCTTCCGACCCATGGGTGCCCCGAGATGTTGGCGTCGCAATACTCAGCGCTCGTGCCTCGTCCGTCCGTTCCAGGGATTGCATGGGCCGGAGAGAGGAGCTCGTGCACCGCCACTGGGCCCGCCCAGAGGGTCTGTGGGGTGCGTGCTTCTTGCGCGCCGCCTGGGGGGAGGCCAGGCCTTCAGCATCAACAGGGAATTGTGACTGACGGTGGATCCTGGTGCGGTCCTGAGATCTCGGCGTCGCATTTTTGTCATAACGGGCAATTTTGCCTCGTTTCAGGCCCAGTGCCATCAAAGATCGATCCAGTCGGCAAAAATGACGCAGAAGAATTAGGCCCAGGGCTTCTGTCGGGATTTTTCGCGATGCCGCCTTCTCTCCGCAACGTCGTATCATGGGGTGTACGCAGTGGGCCAGTGCTGTTGCCCAGGAGGGGCCCGAGAGGGAATCCAGTTTTTGGACGGTCCCAGGGCTCGAAGAGACGGGCCCTCAGAGGCCAACAATTCAGCGACGCAAGACAACGGGGTCGCCTTCATCGACATTGGCGCGTAAGCTGCCCACGTGAGGTCGCCCGTGAGCGCCCTCGTTTCCCATGCAGCGTGCCGCGCTGGCGGGACCTGTTTTCGTTTCCGTCGCTCAATTGCGAAAAGCCCATCCTAACTAACCGAGCGCGTTCCGCTACTCGCAAAGTGCCTACCCGCAAGTGTCAGACAAAAAGCGTGTCTTCCTCATTTCTGTCTATGTCGTGGATCGTAATTCCCCCGCGGCGGATCCAGGCCACTTGCCAGCAGTTACTTTGCGAGTAGCGGAACGTGCTTGTCTACCGACCTCGACGATGACGGCGGCGAAGTCGTCGACGGCACAGGCGAGGCCGCCGTCGGCGGCGGCGGCGACCGCGACGGCCCCTCTCCGCTCCGCGGCCCGCAGCCGAGGGGGGGCCCGCCCGCCGCCGAGGGGGGGCAGCCCTTGCGGGGGGCAGCCTGCTGCGGCCCGCCCCGCGGCAGGGTCAGGGGCAACGATAAGGGGGGGGGAACGGGCGCTCGGTCGGACCGGGGTAATTGATCTGGGCCTCCCAGGTGGGGCCCGAGGGGGTGGGGTCGGAGGATCGCGCCGCATCGCCGCCGCATCTGCGCTGCGGCTCGATGAGGGGAGCCGATTTTCTCCACGCCGACGCACCGCCGATGCACCGCCGGCGTTGCCGATGCATCGGTCGATGCATCGGCGGATGTATCGGCGATGCGGCGCGATCCTCCGACCCCATCTACTCGGACCCCAGCTGGGAGGCCTGTAAAGTATCGAGGTCGGCTCTGGGAGGCTACCCTGATGTTCTTCGTGCTTGTTGGGTGTTATTGTGTATCCTTTGGGAGGGTACCCTCGAAAGTTCTTCGGTGTTGCCGGCGGATGGTCTCATGTTCTTGTAGGATGTTCTCCTGTACTAGGTGCCGTACTCGGCGGCGAGCCCGGGGGGAAGCGAGAAGGGCTGGGCCTTCTCAGAAGGCTCGAAAGTCCCCTGGCCTTCTGAGAAATTTGCTGAGCGTCCGGCGAATACACAGGGTGCCTCTGAGAAGGCAGGAGGCCTTCTGAGAAGCCCCGCCGCCTTCTGAGAAGGCCTTCTCCTGCTCATTCCCCCTCCCCCCTCGCTCGCCGCCGACACACGGGGGGATGCATCGACCCCCAATCGCCCACCGATCGTCGATAGGGGTCTGATTAATTGGCCCCATCCCTCCCAGGAGCGGATTCGCTATCGGGGGCGTGTGGCCGATCTATAAGCGATGTCTCGCCGCTTCCAGGTCGATGTTTCCCCCTCCCCCTCCCCCTCCCCCTCCCCCTCCCGCTCCTCCTCCCCCTCCCCCTCTGCAATGGTCCCGCTTAGACCACTGCCGACAGTACTGAGTACTGATCTCCTCGATCTCCTGACTGGTGTAGTGCTCGTTGTCTCTATCTCATTTGGAATATCCTCTTAACGACGGGCCTCCAGCGGCGTCGCCATCCTCACGTACAGCGGGCCCCTGATGTCGGCGGCGTCGTCTTGCCAAGGAACGGGCTTGGCGTTGCTCTTCGAGCGTGACTTCCGCCGCTGGTTTGCTGCCTTGTTGTTGTCCTGCACGTCCGCGGATGCTTTCCAATGTGCGTTGCGCTTGGTGCAGTTCGTGGAGCTGTTCCAGTTCTGCTGCCCGCACTTGCATTGCCATTCACATGTCCATGGCGCCATTGACGGTGTGGTCCAGTCGACACGCCGCGTCGGGTACAGAAGCGAACGGAAGGAACAGCAATGTGCTAAAACAGATAACCAGGAACGTGGCTATGCTTCGATGGTCCCCTGCTGGCGATGCCGCGATGCCTACCTACCAGCTGGCGCGGTCTGACCTTCTGTTCGGTCGGGAAATTGGGCCCCAAACTTGAGCAAAAACGGCGTGAGCCAAAATGGCTACGGTCCTCCTCCTCCTCCTCCTCCTCCTCCTCCTCCTGCTCCTCCTCCTCCCCTGTGCCTATCCCCCCCTATCGTTGCCCCTCCGCGGCAGGGGGCGAGGCCGCCCGCCGCGGAGGGGCGGCGGGGCGCCGAGGCTCAGGCGCGGGGCGCCGCCCGGCTCCTCGTCCTCTGGGCTTCCCAGGTGGGGCCCGATGGGGGCGGGGTCGGAGCATCGCGGCCCGCAGCCGAGGGGGGGCCCGCCCGCCGCCGAGGGGGGGCAGCCCTTGCGGGGGGCAGCCTGCTGCGGCCCGCCCCGCGGCAGGGTCGGGGGCAACGATAGGGGGGGGGGGGGGAACGGGCGCTCGGTCGGACCGGGGTAATTGATCTGGGCCTCCCAGGTGGGGCCCGAGGGGGTGGGGTCGGAGGATCGCGCCGCATCGCCGCCGCATCTGCGCTGCGGCCTGGAGGGGAGCCGATTTTCTCCACGCCGACGCACCGCCGATGCACCGCCGGCGTTGCCGATGCATCGGTCGATGCATCGGCGGATGTATCGGCGATGCGGCGCGATCCTCCGACCCCATCTACTCGGACCCCAGCTGGGAGGGCTCTTCAATCGCAGGGGGCATGGGTGGAAGCTTCGGGCAGCACCGAAGGGGGTCACCACCAGGCCAGGGGTAGCGTTGGGGGATCGAACTTCGATATTTAATCGCTTCGCTCATTCCGCCGTCCCTGGAGCGCTATTTGGGACCTCTTGGGGCCTTCTATCTAGGGGGCTTCTTGGGGGCCTCTTGGGAGCGTCTTGGGCTCCCCTGGCGGCGTCTTGGGCTCCCCTGGGGCCTCTTGGGGGTCAGATTGATTTCTTCTTGAGGTGGAATGATTATTCAATCGCTTCGCTCACTCCGCTGGCCCCCGTATTGCATGATCGCTACTGCTTCGGCGCGGGCTCGGGGCCATTTCGGCGCCGCCGGAAAGAGGACGATGAGGATGGGGAGGGGGAGGGGAGGAGGAGAAGAGGATGAGAAGGAACGGAGGATGAAGATAAATATGAGGAGGAGGAGGAGGAAGAGAAAAGGGCGGAGGAGGAAGCCTCTCGATGGCATCTTGCGGCGCTCTTGGGGCCAAACAGGGCCGTCGTCCAGATGCTTCTTTGGGAGGCCCTGGGGACTGTTGGGAGGCCGTTCGGGGGCGCCTGGGAGACATGTTTGAAGCTTTGTAGGGCTTCTTTTGAGCCTCCTTGGAGCCTCCTGGGGTCTCTTGGGGGCCTCTTGGCGGCATCTTGGGCCATCTTGGGGGCCTCTCGGGGCCTCCTGGGGCCCTCTTGGGACCGAAGGCTCGAGGTTTCGGTTCGTGGTCCCCATCTTGGGCCCCTCTTGGGGCCGTCTCGGGGCTCTCTTGGGCCATCTTGGGCGTCTCTTGGGCCGTCTCGGGGCCCGTTTGGGCTCTCTGCCTCTTGAGCCGTCTTCGTGCGCTCTTGGGGGCCTCTTGGGCCGTCTTGGAGCATCGGAAAGCCGAAAATGCGACAAGACCAACATCTTTCCAAAACCATCGTAAAATTTATGATTCTGGCCTCTCGGGGCGCTCTTGTGAGGCTTCTTGGAGGCCACTTGGAGCGTTTTGGCGGCTTCTTGGGCCGTCTTGGGATCATCTTCGGCGTCTTGGAGCGTCCTTTGGGCGTCCCGGGGGCCTCTTGGGAAGTCTTGGGGGCCTCTTGGGGCCCTCTTGGCGCGCTCTGGGGAGCCTGAGAGGCCGTACCCAGGAGGAAAACCATCTTTGAGTAGACCTTCCCGGGACCTTCCTGGGACCTTCCCGGGCTGCGGTCGGGGTACTTTTCGCCGGGGGACCCCCAGGGGCCGCCCCGCGCGCCCGAACTAGAAGAATTGTGAACCAGTTACGATCTTAGCACGCCTCTGGCCCGTTGGGCCGGCGAATTTTCATGCGTTTTTGTTGGTGCACGGTGGTTTTCCAGCCTCGCGGTGCTCTCCATCAGCTGCGCATCGTCGAGGGTGTTCTGGGAGGGCCCAGATTCTCCCCAACGGCCGCCAGAATTCAGAGTTACGAAGATGCTTCGGAATAATTGCACCACGTGTGGATCGTGGTATCCCGCCTCAGATTTCTACTTAACCTGCACTTTCATGAGATCATGGCGCCGCATTTTTTTCATCACGGGCGATTTTGCTTTGTTTCGGGCCACAGGAACCCCACGGACCAATCCAGCTCGAAACATGTACTAGAAAGATGGGGTACAGGGTTTCGGTCGAGTACTTCCCTACTATTTCGCAATTTGTTCGTGGCGTCGGATCTCAGGGGGTACCAGAGGGGGTCACCACTAATTACGGGTTCACCAGTTCCTCCTGAGGGTCGATGCTACAGGATCGAAGCCCGATGCGATTTTTTGACGTTTGGGGTCGTTTTGAAAGCCCTGTGGAGTGTTTGGGGGCGCCCGAGGCATTCCTTGAGGAGATGGCGTTTCCTCGAGGAAGTGGCGACCACCTCTAGTGGTGACCTCCCATGGCATTGCCTGGAGAGGGGAGGAAGGGAGGGAGGGGGGTGGCCTGGAGGAGGAGGAACAGGAGGGAAGGCGTGGGATGGGGCTTGGGAGGGGAGGTTGTGTGTGTGTGTGTGTGTGTGGGTGTGTGTGTGTGTGAGGGGTGGGGGGCTCCCGCCCCGAAGAGGAGTGCAGGTCAGGCACAAGATGCTTGGGAATTGCCTCCTCGTGTGGATCGCGGCATCCCGCCTCAGAGTCTTGGCCTGCGCTGGAAGAATCTGCGTGTATTGTATACTGGCTAGTAGCAGGAGGTTTTGCTAGCCACCGTGCTTGCTTCCCGCACCACAGCTTCTCTCTGCGCTCGGACTCGGCTGCTTCCACGGAGGCGAATACGACTGCGATTTGAGGATAAGTGCGTGTGTGTATGTTCGTATGGGCGGTGGACTCTAGCTCGCCCAACTTGCTTATTGTAGTGCAGTGGAGCTGGACCTTCATGTCCCAGCCGAGCTCACCCTGTCGTAGCTCAGCGCCGTCCATTGCTCTGGTAGCTCGCTGTCGCCTTGGTCAGCTTGTTCCATCTCAGCTCGGTTCAGGTCGGCTTGGTTTTAGCTTTGGCTTCAGGCCCACGGGCTGGGTGTTTTACCTCTCCCAGCGCGGTTCTCGCAGAGGGCCAGGGGGCTGCCTGGAGGGGTCTGGCGGCCTCAAGGCGCGGGGGGGGTCTGTAAGCAGCCCCCTGCTTTCTCAGCAGGCGCCTCCCCCTCGTTGGAACATGTTCGTTCACGGGACGTTTGTGGGGCCCACTTGACGGACCTGTCTGATTCTGGCTCACCTCGAGTTCGGGTCTAGTTCGACTCAAGCTCGGCTCCAGTGGGCTTCTCGAAGCCCTCGCGCACCCTCTGAGCAGCCCTGAGGAGGAGGAGGAGGAGGAGGAGGAGGAGGAGGAGGAGGAGGAGGAGGAGGAGGCACTCGAGTGAGGTCGACCGACGTTCGACGCGGCATCGGGGCACGAGTGGGGCGAGCGGCTCCGGGGAGGCCCCGAGAGCGAGCCTCTGCGCCTCGCCCTGCGCCCTACTCTGCGCGCCGCCGGCCTTGTCCTCCTCGTCCTTCGCCTCCTCCTCCTCCAGCTCCTCCTCCTCCTCCTCCTCCTCCTCCTCCTCCTCCTCCTCCTCCTCCTCCTCCTCCTCCTCCTCCTCCTCCTCCTGCGCCCACGCCCGTGGAGAGAAAGCACAAACAAAAAATGACTCAGGCCCATACTTGTTAAGTGCACATCGGTCGCTTCACAGTAGGCGTTGTGGGATCCCCGGATCCCATTCTACTTTAGAGGCCTTTCTGTTTCAGTCATCTCTTCAGGGGGCTGGCGAAAGCCCAAATCTACTTCCAGCGCGTCCCTGATTCATGCTTCTACCAGTTTCTTCCGACCAGTGGTTTCAGTCGAAACCCATGATACGGATGGGAAACCTTCCCAAGGTTACCCTTGCATCCGTGCCTTTTGGCTCCATCCTTAAAACACTTCCGATGGCGAACCCCGCTCGAGAAGCTTCGTCATGGACGTCCAAAGACCTTGCATCTTTCTCGCGAAACCCTACTATCAGTTTTGACTGTACGGCATCCCTCTGTTCGGCCCAGCTGGTCTCGGCCTGGCCCAGCCCTGTCGAGGCACGGCGCGCGCGCAGCACGAGAGCGATGCGCACGCGCGAGGCGAGATGTCGCCCCTCCCGGGCATCCGAGGCGGCTTCCCCCGCCCCAGCGCGCGGCGGGCCAGAGTGATGATGATGGTGGTGATGATGATAATGAAAGAAGTGAATACGACAACGATGATGATGATGGTGGTGATGAGAATGGCGATGAAGAACAGACTATGAACATGCTGCTGCTACTGATGATGTTGATCATCATCATGACACTGATTACGAAGCTGATGATGATCATGATGATGACGCGGATGCTGTTGATGATGCTGAAGATGAGGATTCGGATGTTGATTATGTTGATGATTATGATGACGATTTTCATGACGATGCTGCTGATGATTATGGTGCTGATGCTGTTGACGATGATAGTGTTGACGATGATGGTGTTGACGATGTATGACGATAATGCTTTTGTAGATGGATATGGCATTGTATACGATGATGATGATGCTGCTGAAGATGATGACGGTGATGACAATGATGGCAATGATGATGATGGTGGTAATGCTGATAATGCTGTTGCTGATAATGACGATTACGATGAGGCCGAGTTATATGACTAGAACGACGACGACGATGTTGCTACCGATGAAGATAGAGACGATAATGTCGGCGACTTTGACAATGACGATACATGGTGATGATGAATAGTGATGATGAAGATACAGGCGACGATGAAGACTATGAATATGACCATTTCGATGAGGGTGACACTGATGCTGTTGAATCTGAAGGTGATGATTGTGAAGCTGATGATGAATATGAAGATGTTTATGTGTACGCGGATGATGATGGTTATGGTGTGAGTGAGGGTAAGGCTATTGATGACGATGATGATGATGATGATGATGATGATGATGATGATGATAGCGTCGGAGACGATGCTGCTGATGATGAGGCTGATGATGATCGTCATCACGATGATGATGCTGCTGATGATGACGCTGCTGCTGATGATGCTGATGGTGATGGAGCATGGATGTGCTGATGCTGCTGCTGCTGGTGATGATGATGATGATGAGGATGATGTTGCCTATGATGATGATGATGATGATGATGATGATGATGATGATGATGACATTGATGATGATGATGACGCTGATAATGCTGGCAATGCTAAGGACGCTGATGATGATGGTGATGATGATCATAGACGCCAATGGTGCTGATCATAATGATGATGCCGATGATGCTACGCATGACGATGATGATGATGATGAACATGCTGATGATGATGGTGATGATGACGGTGATGAAGACAACTGTGATGTTAATTATTGATGGTGATGATGATGATATTGTTGATGCTGATGATGCTGATGATGATCATGAGGATGCCGATGATGATGACGATGATAATGATGACGATGGCGATGACGACGATGATGATAACGATGACGATGACGACGATGATGATGACGATGATGAGTATGGTATTCGAAATGCTGATGCTGATCATGATCAATGATGGTGATGCTGATGCTGATTATGATGATGCTGATGATGGTTAAGAAGATGATTATGATGATGACGATTATGATGACAATGATGAAGCTGATGATGATTGTGATGAAGATGATTTTGATGAGGACGACGACGATGTTGATGATGCTGATGGCGATGATGGTGATGGTGATGGTGATGGTCATGATGATGATGATGCTGATGATGATGATGATGATGACGATGATAATAGAGATGGCGATGATACTCAATCTGAATATGAAATTTGATATCATCATGCCTATGCTTTTGATGAGGGTGATGATCATGGAATTAGAGATCAAGGTGATGATGGTGATGCTGATGGTGAGTGCACCGCACTCGTTTCTATATTCCTGTGTGTGGGTGTATGTGTGGCCGCTTTTGCGCTGGCAAGTGCGTGCATGTGCTCGGCATTGCCTGGCATGTGCTGTGCATGTGTGGGCCTTTTGGGTTGGACGTCCTACCGTGCATGCGCGCCCAGTCATGTGCAGGGTCATGTGCGCTGTGATTGGTGCACCATTTGTCCGCACATGCCCGCGCATGCCAGCGAGCATGCCTGCACATGCGGAACGCGTGCGATAATTGCAGATATTCCAGCGGCACATGCAGCACATGCCTGTGCAATCTTCCTGCAGATGACCGCGAAGGCAGGCCCGCACATGAACCCACATGCGTTGAAATGCGCATCCGCACATGCTCGGACATGCCGACGCAAATGCCCGCACATGCCCTCGGAGTTGTTTGGGATCTTTAGAGAAGAGCCTCCAGTGCTTCGTGGCCTTCGCAGAGTTTCCTGGGGCTTGCCATGAGGGGATCCAGTGCCAGACGTGCTGGGAGAGGCTCCCTCTCCAAGCTGAGCTTGGTCACGAAGTTCTATCCAATCCCCTCCATCTACAACAACACACCCAGTACCCACCAGTTTTCGTCCCAAACTCAGCAGACTCCCTCCCCAAACTTGAGCTGAAAACGGTGATTACTCAAGTCCTTCTATCTACAACGCAACACCCAGTATTAACCAGCCTTCGCCCCCAACACAACACTCAATACTCGACAGCTCCCCTCCCCAAGCTGACATTGAACATCACCTTAAGCTCAAATCCGTCAGTCTACATCACAGCGCCCAGTACTCAACAGCCTCCGTCGTTAACACAACACAATACTCAACAGGCTCTTTCCAACCTGTGAAAATTCCCTTCTGCTCAAAATATTCCGTCTACAAACAACACCCAGTCCTCAACAGCCTCCGTCTCCAACACAGCAACCATTATTCAACAGGCACCCTCTCCAATCTGAACTTGGAAGTCACCTTCTGCTCGACACCATCCGTCTACATCGCAACACCTATTACTGACCAGCCTCCGTCCCCAACACAACACTCGATATTCAACAGGTTCCACCCTCAATCTGAACTTGAACATAACCGTCTACCCACATCCCTACGTCTATAATGCAGCACTCAATGCTCAATAGCATTCGTTTTCGGCGCAACACCAAATACTCAACAGGGTCCCTCCCCAGGCTGAACTTGTAAACGATCTTCTATTCAACTCCTTCCGTGCGCAATACAAAGCCCAGTACCCAACAACTTCCCTTTCCCACAGACTATCCCACCCACTCCGGAACATCCGCGTCCACGGCCGGTGCGCTCTCCTGATTGTCTTTTTTCTTTTTACATCTTCCAAGAGGAATGGGTGTTCATGGTGCGTGCGGATAATAAAAGCATACTCTGAAACCACAGTGAATAGTCGATCCCGTTGGGCAATCAAAGTAAACAGTTGCTTCAAAACGGATCGATCGAGATGGTGGTGTTGTTCACAAGGTTCGGCGATATGAATGCTTGGTTCTCCACAGGAACCCCGGTTGTGTGCTTATCTATGTATATATGTATCCGTTTTGAGAAAGATTTCAATCCAATCGTTGGTCTTCACTAGGAGCTGGCATAGTCGGAGTCGTGGTCGTAGCTGTAGTCGTAGTCGTAGTCGTAGCCGTGCTTGTTGTGATTTTTCATTGTGAAGGGAAAGGAGGTGGAGGAAAAGAAGGAGGAGGACATTAACACAGGAGGAAAAGGGGAAGGATCGAGAAGAGTGAAGCGGAGGCGGAGGAGGAGGAGGAGGACGAGGAGGAGGAGGATGAGGAAGAGGAGGAGGAGGAGGAGGAGGAGGAGGAAGAGGAGAGAGATAGAGAGAGAAAGGAGGATGACGATGAGGAGGATGAGGAGGGGGTAAAGGGGGGCAGGGGGGGTGAATGGCGAATCGCAGTGGGGATGATGATGATGATGATGATGATGATGATGATGATGATGATGATGATGATGATGATGATGATGATGATGATGATGATGATGATCATGATGATCATGATGATCATGATGATCATGATGATCATGATGATCATGGTGAGGAGGAGGGGGAGGAGGGGGATGAGGATGAGAGGGATGAGGATGAGGAGGAGGAGGAGACGGATGAGGAGGAGGAGGAGAATAATCAAGAGCGCTCAAACCGGACACCTTCGAAGAGGGATAGGCGGAGGAGGAGGAGGAGATAACGTTAGAGATGATGATGATGATGATGATGATGATGATGATGATGATGATGGTGATGATGCTGATGTTGATGATGATGATGGTGATGATGAGATGGAGGATGATGAGGAGGATGATGTTGACGATGATGACGATGATGCTGTGGATGATGATACTGCTAATGCTGATGCTGATCATGATGATGTTGATGCTGATGCTGACAGTGATGCAGACGATGATGATGATGATGCTGATAATGATAATGCTGATGAAGCTAATGCTGATGATTATGCGGGTGATGATGGTGTTGATGATGATGAGGATGAGAAGGAGGGGATGAGCAGGAGAATTAGGAGGACGAACCTGCATGGTCAGATGGATTCTGATTACACTACTATCAACAGACATCTCAGACGAACTTTGACCACAACGAAGGCGTAACATTCACAATCATAATAGTGATCAGACGATTGAGGCTCGTGCGAGCAGTACAGCGAACACCATTACTATTACGAGGGCTCATACTGCTGATTAAGAAGGCTGCGCACACTCCGAGTCAGACAACTAACAATTATAAGAGTGATGCTGTGCAAACTACCATCACTAATGCTACGAATCCAGCTGTCTGCGATAAGCTCCGCAATCGTGCTTGTGCAACAGCGGAGCTGGAAGGAGGCTGCGTGTAGGAACAACGTCAGAGTGAGGGGGGCGAACGGTCATTCATTTTCCCTGTGTGCGTGGCTCTAGTGCGGATCCGTTGTGAGGATTCTGCTTGTTGGGTTGTTGTTGCTGTGTTGAACATTATTTCTTCTTAAGAATAATTATTGTTGGGGCCCCTGGTGCGCGACCCCCCCGCCGCGCCTAGGCCGCAGCCTCATTTTCAACATTTTCGTGAGGAAGTCTCAGGCAAAACCGGGGGTACGGGATCCGGTTGTTTTGTTGTCCCCCGCTTTCCCTTGCAAAAAATAAGCTAAAGTGGACATTTCCTGTTCTAACATAACCAAACTTCAAGAATCCCTTGCAACAAATAA